AAATGTCAGCTGGTTCACAAGGTTATAGGGACTAACAAACCCTGCAGCTAATTTATCTTCGATTCCCTGTCCTGTAGAGGTCAGTACTATTTCCAACTGGTGTTTGACTTCCAAACTTTGTTAGGTTGTTCAACTTTCCTGGTAGAATTGCATGAGATGAGTTCACGTTTATTGCAGCAGATTGATCCATAGATGATTGGGGAGGGTTTTGGTTCGGTAGAGATATACCTTCTGAAAAGACACCCAGATTCTTTTGGTTTTGTTTGGCCTGTATGGTCTTCATATCTGCTATTAAATCTCCATTAGCAGCCGATTGCTGTTGTAGAGCAGCTAAAGTTCCAGCATGATTAACAAGTTGAGGTTTCAGTAGCATATTGACTATCTGTTCCAAACATAGATTTGATATCGAGTAAGGAAAATTGTTCCCATTTCCAATCTCAGGAACCCGAATGAATGGTCTTTTAATGAAATTTCCCCACTCAGTTTCTGCTCCTGGTAGCATAAAAAAAAGTCATTAAAAAAACATCTAACAGACTTCCCTGCTTGAAAACTTACCCAAGAATCCAGAGTGCAATGGTCGTTTAAGACTCGAAGTCAGAGAAGGAAATATGAAAATATTTTAAGGAGTCTCAATTTCCCATGAACTAACCCTGTTATGTTTACAACACCCTGGCTCATCCTACTCTACCTGTTAATGAAGAGAATGTAGAAGAGAATCAACCGTTGAACATTCAAAGGAAACAGAAAAATCCTTGATTATAATATTGATTAGGGAACATAAAAGCAAGATCACTTGGTAAAAGCTCAGAGTAGCTTAAGCCACCTGAAGATTCCTCCCCTTTGAACCAGGCCATCTCCTCTTGGATGGATCCTTGATTTCTGGAGGTGCAGGCAAATTTTTGATAGCCTCTACAATATGGTTTAATGAACAAAATTTTGTACGTTCTTGGTCACCCTTTAAAGATCATCACAACAAAAGGGTCATTTTAGTCATTAACAATCAAGTGCTCTGTTCAACATTGTCGAAAAGGGTATCTTCTGCTAAAATTGGTGGACGCTACTTTCCCAACCAATTTGGACTTCTAATAAGCCACTATCAGGCTAACCAACAAGTTTATGAAAAACAGGTTCATCTGGGATTGGGCCTGGCCTATCAAGTTTTTTGTTTGTTTTTTGTTACAAGCGATATTGGGAGGAGGGAATCACATCTAGGACCTCGAGTGCAGGGATAGATGCTCTTAACCGCTTGAGCTACAAGCCCCTTGCTAGCCTATCCAATTTAAGCAAATGGTCAATGCGAGTATTTGGGTTTGCCTACCAAGTTTTCATTATGGCTCTACAAATGTTTGTAATATCCAAGAGAGAGCAGTGATTGGCCTGCAGGCCTTGATGGAATTGCATATGTTGGAGCCTTTATGCTACACAACACTATATATCTGCAAGTAATTGGCAAGAACTTGAACATTTCTACAATTGAAAAGAGAGAAAATGCTTGTGATTGCTTTTCCAGGAAGACCTTCAATCTTGTACTCCACACACAAGATTTAGCACACATTTTATACATACACTTTGGTACAAGGCATTTTGCAGCTCACAAGTAAGCCTAAAACAATCTTAAAAACAAAAAGTCTATTTACAAAAAGGCATCTTCTACAAGGAGCCACACATTTACATGGAGAACAAGATGTTGAATTATGAAAGGAAAGAATGACCAAAACAGAGCCACACATTTACAAGGAGAAGCTAACCCCCAATTTACAAGGAGAAGCTGTACGTTGCAAATAGATGACCAAAACAGAGCCACACATTGTAATTTGAAATCAAGTCCGCTTTTGTAATAACCCAAACCTTAATTAATATTTAATTAATAATTTATTAGAGGAAAAGACAATTTTAACCATAAAATATTTTATTTGGTTTCAAGTTGACTTTTTGACCGGTAAAGAATTTGGGAATTTCGATTGTACGATTGCGTAGATCGCGTCGTAACGAGTCCGTAGACATGTAGTGGGCTTAAATCGGAGTTTTAACGAGAAAATTACGTTTAAATTACTCTGAGGGGCAAAAGGGTAATTTAGTGAAAAAAATCAGATTTTTAAAATCAGATTCTTTTTCTCTCCTTCTTCTCCACGCGACCAGCCCCCATCCGTTTTTTATTTTTCACTTCCAGCCGCACCTCCACACCTCCATAACCATCCAGCCACACCGCCAATCACCACCGGATCAGACCCAACTCGACCGGCGTGACATCCGCAGCCCAGCCCCGACTTTCCCCACCATCCAGCCTCCACGAATTCTCTGGAAAACTGCAAAAAAAGGGGCTGGTTTTTGCTCAAACTTCTCACCGCTCGTTCTCCCTCCTCCGGCCACCAAATCAAGCGAATTAGTTATGGATTTTTGACTATTTTTCACGTTCTAGCTGATGGTTGGGTAGGTTTTGAGAGATGTTAATTTGTGATTTGAAATTCTGCCGGTTTTGGGACGCCGATTTCAGCCACTTCCGGCCACTTTTTGGCCCTAGTCTAAGAACAAAAGTGGTTCCAAATTAGATGTTTTACCTAGGATAGGAGTTTGGGCCGGCAATTTGGAGAATTTTCGGCCGTTGGAATTTGTTATACACACCCACGCGCTACCGGCGCGTGAGCCGGGTGTCGGGGACCACTCTTGGTCCTAGCATGATCATCGTCTCCTCATGAGTGCGTAGTAATTCTCGGATCTCAATTCGGACAATGTTTGAACCCTGAACGGATCTCGCATAGTGTTCGATTTCCGGGTTCAATACGTTTGGACCGTTGGATCGTAGTCAAACTGGAGTATTTTGATCTAGGTAATTTCAGGATCGTGTAGGATTCGACGGATCGTGAATCGGAGTCCCGGATACTCCAAAAAGGCCAACCTTAGGGTTAGGATTACGAAAAATCGTCCATTTGTCCGATCGTGCGACCGTGAGCAATCTGACCGTCCGATTGAGACCAAACTCTCGGGACATGTGTCCTAGGTATATTGGAACCTTTAATAATGATCGGATCGGAATTCTGAGATCGTGGACCCCACGAGTAAAGGTGTCAAACGGGACGGGTCGGCCCAGCACGACACGAGCCCAGCCCGTTTAAATGAGGCACGGCACGGCACGAGCACGAATATTAATGGGCCGTGCACGGCACGAAAACTTGGGCCAGGCCGGGATCAAAAAATAGGTCCAATGGACCGGGCCGGGCTTGGCCCGAGCCCGCTTCAAGCACAGTATGAGCCCAAGCACGGCCCATTTAGCATTTTTTTTTCTTCTCAAAAAAGCAAAATGCAATAATTTGACATCTAATGTCATTGTTTATATGTTTTTTTTTGTTTTTTTATAATCATAAACATATATTTGATGTCTTTCATTTTAGGGAAATTACTTGGGTCCTTAGTTAATTAAACAACATTGGACTTGATATCTAATCAATACATATGACATATACGCTTCTCTTATAATCAAAGCAAGACATTTCTTCACATATAAAATAATAAGTTGTTTAAAGATGAAAAGTTCAAGTGGACTTTGTGGAGTTGGACACTTTTTGCCCTCCGCCCCTTCATATTGTTTGGATCTTTGATAATTGATTAATGTTTTCAAATAGTTCATCATTTCTTGCCTCTAATTATATTTTTAATGTTTATAATTTGAATTATCTAGTGGAAAAAAAAATCAAGTGAAAAAAATTCAAATGAAATGGGTTGGTTCTTGGGCCCGAGTATGGCACGAGCACGAGCAAGGGCACGGCACGAGCCCGGCCCGGCCCGTTTCAATATGGACATAGGCTTTGGGCCGGGCCGGGATTAATGATTTTATTAAATGGGCCGACCCGACACGGCACGAAAATGTTAAAAGCACGAGTTTAAATGGGATGGGCCGGTTCGGCACGGCCCGTTTGACACCTCTATATGGAAACAATCACAAAACCAGCTCTTGACACAACTCTGTTCTCCTCCTTCCTTCAACTGGTCGATGTGGAACAATGGGTCAATACCCTGTCTTGAAGAAATCTTTGCTGTCTTTGTGCTTCAATGCAAGTACATCTCTAAATCCTCTCCGCAGCCTTCTGATCATCATATAGGTATAATTCATCCAACAATTATAAAATAAATAAAATTAGAAACTGAACCAATTTGCAACACTCACTTCACCAACTTACAACACTTAATTCACCAACTTCACCTAACACACAATTGCATTTGAAAATAATTCCTCTTGTCTTTAGGCTTAGTGTTGCAACTCCCACTTCATCATCTTTTGGCTGCTGCAAAATTCCACTCAAAAATAGGTATTGAATATGCTTCACCAAACTTTCCCACA